TGTATAACTTATATATTATACCAATGTTTAATATTTTTTTAGATATTAGATAATACTTGATTTGACCTTGGTAACAGATCTGAATTTAACTAATTGTTAAGAAACAGTAACTATAACATATACAACAAAATATTTGAATTTTTATCATCAGAAAGATTTAAACCCTAGATATACTATTTTGAAGTATAATAACTTTATTATTTTATTAAGTCATCACAATTTTATTATTTTATTAAGTCATCATATCTTTTAATAATTTTAAATTTAAAGTTATATTTAAAAAGTATAATTTGAAAAATTAAGAATATTGTAAATACAGTCAACTTCTTCTAAGTGCATTTTATTGAGACTAGATTTTTAGCAATATATATTAAGAGAACCATTAAGAAAAATACATTTATAGAAATTAAATATATAGAATTTTTGCTAGGATTTTTTTTTTCTAAAAATAAATTTATTATATTTTTCTTAATAAAAATTTTATATAACAATAGCTCGTAGAGTCATTTTGCTAGTAAAAATCTATATATATAGGCCCAGAATTTAAAATTGTATTTAGAGAGAATATGCACTTAGAGAACATGTACTTAGAGAAAGTTAACTATATATAGTTTAAATTAATTTCAGATTATTAAAGCAGTACTTGCTTTAAAAGTATTAGCACAAAACTAATAGTAAGTAAATTAATTTGATTTTTGAAATTTAGTAAAGATATTAATTATTGCTTTCAAATTTTGTCTTAGTTAAGTTTATAATACTAAAGTTATAGAAATAGCAAAAGTTTTTTAACCTATTTTTTAAATCTTTGTTAAATCTTTAAATATTGTATATATTGATAAATAAATTAAAAATATTGTTTAGATAGTTAAATCTAAAAGATAAATTGAAGTACTAAATATAAGATATAAAGTATTTAGAACTATTATTATTGTTAAATAGTTAAGAGTCTATATAGAGCTCAGAAACTATTTTTTATTAGTAATAGTTTTATTTATAAAAAGTTATTATTAAATTAATAATATTTTATTATAAAATAGTAATCAAATAAACCTTCTAGAAAATAAAAACTTTCCAATATAATAATTACTTAAAATGTTTATAAAAATAACTGCAGAATATTAGATACTAGCTTTAGCTTAACAATATATTTTACTAATATATTAATTAAATAAAATAATTATTAACAAAACTATTAAAATAAAAATAAAAAATAAATAATTTTTTTAAATTATTTTTAAATTATTTTTAATTTATATTTTAAAGTAATAATTAATTAAAAATTAATAAAATTTAATTTATAAATTTATAAAATATAATTTTTAGTTTAAAATATAAAAAAACTAATTAATTTAATTTTTTTATTTTGTTGTTTATATAAATTTTTTTTATAAAGTATTAAAATTTTAATTTTATATTGTTTGTTTTTGACTTTAATATTGAAATGTTTTTATATATTTGAATTATAGATTCAACTATTTTAGATTTCTTATAAACTTCATTTTTCTTAAATATTAAAATTATTTTGAATTAATTTTAATAAAATATAGATTTCAAAGCTTTTATTACTTTTTTAAATATATTTAATTGGTAGGTTTTTAAAAAATTATAAGAATAAAAAGTATTTTAATATATATAAAAAGTTTAAAAATTTTTTATTTAATTATAATAATCATTATCAAATTTAAGTTTATCCACTATTCTTATTTGTAGCATTCTTGATATTACAATTACGGGGTAATAGTACTTAAAATAGGTTAATCAATTTTATCTTTTTATCAATTTTTGCCAATTTATGTGTTTAAAATAAGCTATTATTTCATGATATTTCTATTTAATTTTTTTTTTACTTTAGCTTATATAAGTATGGTAAAAACTCCAGTAGCGAAGCAACGTGTTACAACTAGTCTATTATACATATAATAAAATAATTTTTTAAATCGAGTAGCATGAATTTGATTGGATAATTATTTTATACAACAAAATATTGTTACAAGAACTTTTTATATTATTTACAATAGAAGATTTTAAATTAAAGTCAGGTGCTTAACTTTCATATAAAAGTTTGGGATCAAGTATTCTAGCAACTTTCATTAGAAGCGATTCTAACATTACAAGCATGTAGTTCATTAACAATATTATGTATTTTTTAGCTTTCAAAGAGTAATAACTAATAAAAATAATATTTTCTTTTGAGAAGATTAAAAATCAATCGTTTCACGAAATCCCATAAAAGTATCGGAGAGTAAAGAAAATTAATTCTTTTAATTTTGGCCAGAGTTTTTCTGCCAATCAAAACAATTTTCCATCATGCTATTCGTGTAACATATCTGGCAAATCATTTTTTATCTCACACGAGGATCTATATAAATACTTTTTTTCGCGTTCATTATTTTGTATATCAAACGTGACAGATACTACTAATGTTTGTCCTGTCTTTACTTTAAGCCATATAACAAGCGGTGTAATTACAACTTTGAAATCTGAGAGCTGACCACCGTTATACCGTATGTAAATGAGAGCTATTTCATAACGATCCTTTTTTTGACATTCACTTTCCGGCGAAATCACTTTCCTGTCATTTAAGATAGGATATTCAGGTTTATAAATATTTAATTTTTAATCCTATTTTGTTCGCGTTAATTTAGATGAGAATAAGCAAATTTATTAACCAAAGTTTTTAAAATAAGGTGTTTAGGTTCATGGATATTTGCTATTTTGTCACATTAATTTAGAAAGGTAAAGAAAATTTTATACACAATGTAACACGATAAATATATGATATTGCGATTATTGCGATCAAGTAAAATACGTTCACCATTCTAAGTGTTAAAATAAGCTAATCAGATCTATGAATATTTACTATTCAATTTCGTTTTACCGCAGTTTTATCGTGTTAATTTAGGTGAGTGTGAAGAAAATTTAATACTTTAAGTGTTTAGACTAAGCTATTTAATTTCATGAATGTTTGTTATTTAATTTCATTTGATTTGTGTGACTATAAAGAAAACTTATCAATCTGTATTTAAAATAAGATATTCGAATATTCGGGTTCATGATTATTACTATTTAATTTTGTTCGTGGTAAATTAGGTGAGTATTATGAAAATTTATTGATTTAATAAGACTATTGAAGTTCATGAATACTAAATTTTATTTTGTTTTATCAAATTATTTATTTAAAATGAGTTATTTGGGTTCATAATATTTTGTTTAATTTTATTTCATGCTAATTTAGGCGAGTGTTATAAAAATTATTAATCTAACTGTTTAAAAGAAGCAATTTAAGTTTATGAACATTTATGATTAATTTCATTTTGTTTGCTTTAATTTAGTACATGACTATAAAGAAATTTATCAATTTATGTGTTTAGTAAGCTATTCTGATTCGTAACTATTCACTATTTAAGGTATTTTGATTACATTAACTTAGGTAAATATGAAGAAAATTTATTTGAATGTTTATTATTTAAATTCGTTTTGTTTGTTTACTTAGTGCGTGACTAAGAATATTTAGGTTCACAACTATTCACTATTTAATTTTATATTTTCGCATTAGCGTGGGTAAGTATGGTGAAAATTCCGGCAGCGAAGCGACGGGCTATAACTAGTTATGCGATAAAATTCTTTTATAAGTAAATTTATTTATCCCTATTACGTGTAGTGTTACCGGATCGGAGATTAAAAAATGTTACGGCTGATGCTGAATATTGGGGCCTACTTCAGTACTTGGATATAAAATTTTATAATTTTTTGGGGTGTATTTGTTTAGCTTTTTTGTAATATTTAGACTAGAATTTAGGGTAGAATTGTTAAGAAAAGAGTATATGTGGCTTTTAGTAGGTATAATGGATCCAAATTAAGACCCCAAAATTCAGCATCAGTCGTGACAAAAAATATTACAATGATTGTAACTAACACGTAAATCAACACTTAGTCATTAAATGGCAAGTTACTTTCACCCTGTAAAAGGCAGGTCAGTTTCACAAGCAATAAATCTTTTAAAAATTTTTTTTCTCCATGATCAGCATTTTAACTTCAGCGTATTTTCCGTTTAGTCTTTATTGCAAAAACTGATGAAGCAACGTTATTGTATCCTGCCACACGAAAAGCCTTCTTGCGCATGTGATTCATGCGTTTGCTTAGCTTTTACCAAACTCACAAATTCATTTTGTAGTCGGGTAGAAGTTACGGATGTGGTTGGAAGGATATTCTCAATTGCAAGGTGGGATATACTCCATCTTAGAGAATATAGTTGCAAACCTCTGGCAACGCCTAGTGTTACGAATCGGCAAATTTTTTCAATCTATTAGTTGGTTAATTATTTTTTCAGTTGGTTGCAACTAATCGATGAATCGATGAGTTGCAACTAATCGATGAATCGATGAGTTGCAACTAATCGATTAATCGACGAGTTGCAACTGATCGATTCATCGATTAGTTGCAACTAATTCATTATTGCGGTTTGCAAAATTTTGCAAATCAAAAAAAAAATATATATTATGATTAACGATTAGTGATTTCTAATTTTTTTTTAAACTTTAGATTATAATAAACTTTAATATTATGTAAATTTTTATAAAAGACGTAATTAACTCTAATTTTAATTTATTATTATTAATAAGTTAAAATTAGAGTTTATTACGTCTTTTATAAAAATTTACATAATATTAAAATTTAATCTAAAGTTAAAATATATATATATAAAATTAAAAATCGGAAATCACTAATTATTGTCACGGATCATGGTGAAATCGGATCATCGTGAAATTTGAATCTATTTTATCTACGATTTTTAAAATTT